ATGGCGGAATAGACTCCTAAGTTGTTTAACATTAAGACACTGCCATTCTCGCTCGATAATAAAGAAATCTGGCTCTATTATACTGACGACTTTCACGGGCACGGCGTGACAGCCACACGTGCACAGTTCCTTGTAGTAGTGAGGCACTGCCACACGAATTCAATAGATATGTCGCACACAGTATGCTTACTAGTGATGTTCCGGAACCTTGCGACACTTCAATAAAGGTTAACATTAAATGTGGAGACCTAACCAACCGACAAAGTTTAGACTGTAGGGTCAGCGAAATGTCAATGAGCCCTAGCCAAATAATCTGGCACTTGAGTCACTGAATATCGAATCTATCATCAATCCCTGTCAAGTTCAAGGACGACCGACGCGCGTCAGGTATTCGTAAGCCATGGGCTGGCCCATGTGGTGGAGGTCTTACCTTCGATTTTATCTACTTTAACTAATATAACTTAAGATAATACGGAATAAACTAGTTATATACTCAACTTAGTTTACGGATAATCAGGTCTACTTTTACGATTAAGTAAAAAAATGTTAATAACAGAAATGAGGTTAAATTTGTGTTCAAAAAGGGCTCACCAATTTCGTGCCTTAAAGTAACCCTCGTGCTATTGATAGAAGAAACCAGACAAGTAGTGAATAGGTCTTTATTTCGATCTTAGCGCGGTCACAGTGGAGCGTGGGATTATCTGTTCAGACAAACAAAGGCCCTCAACATTCAATATAAGATATTAGGGAATATAACTCTTATACGAAACAAGGAAGTGAATGGATACTTGAACAATACTGTTTTGGCATATGCTTGGTTGTTTGGGGTCAACTCTTAACCAACCAACCTAAGCTGTTACATTAGCTTCCCCCTAGAATCGACTTCCGTAGGAACGTCGGTTCGATTAACCTAACTATCGAAAACACCTTAGTTCTATTTCTTATCTCAAGGAAAAATTATCAACTCGCTGTCAACGATAGTCCATGGACGTCTCTTATTTACTAGCTTGTCATCTTATTTTGTACCATGTGATTTCTTCTACAACTATCGCCGATGGTTTGCTGCGTGCTTTCAAGAGAAAGTGTGAGAATGTGGAATAAGAATATCTGAGGAAGTGCCGCGAGCGGGCTACCCAACACCATGTTGGTGAGGTACGATTTTTCCGTGCTCAGACCGGCTATCAGGTGTTTACTCACCTGCCTCTTGAGTCGCAATCAAGTAAAAAGTAAAGAAGAATCTACTTCAAAGGTAATGGGGAAAATCAAGCAAACCTGAAGAACTGCTCCACTGCCTGCATAAAATAATAAGATACAAAATGGAAATACATAAATGTAATTGATAATTGTTCGGTTCCATGTAAGTGCTTGGTCTCCAGAACGGATTGGTATTCTGGAAGAGAATAGACATAGTGTAGATATCTTGTGTACGAAAAACCATGAAAACAAAAAAATACTCTTTTGTATTGCATATATGTAAAAGAGTGAACTTGCTAGAGGTTGGACTCTTTAACAAAATCGATCAAACGCGTGACCTTGAGCTTGTAATGACCGCGTTTTACAACTAGGTGCGTAACTAAGGGTGCATCAGAGTACTGCACAAAACGGAAAAGAATATACGGTTGAGAAGCAAAAAAAATTGTGTAGAGTATGCGGATCAAGTACAGTTGTGTCAAATACCCTTTTCTTGTTTGATTTAGGTATGCATGATATATTGAAGCAATATATCGTCATTTCATCCAAGTAACGAATTGCTTTGCACCTCAGAAGTGTGTAAGTCCTATTACTCATTAGTATTATGAGTGATTAATTGGTGTAAGGAAATATTGAAGTCATTTCCTCCGTGGTCTGATGTGGCTTAACGGCTAAGCACGCGGTCTAGCATTCAGGAGGGCAGAGGTTCGAGTGTGTGTGGGGCCTGCGTTTCTGCTCACCACACCCACCTTCAATACGATGTTTGTTGACCGTAAGTCGCGCACATATGAGAGAAAAAATGACAAGAGGACAGACTGATATATCAAAGTGCCATATTGGAAAATTATAAGTTCTTTGTTTACATGAATATTATTACTATAGAAAAACAAAACTACAAGTTTAGTAAATTTCCATTTTACGTTATATTTAAACCAACGAATATATATATATATATATCAGTTATTGACATAAAATGCCTTTTTTATAACGCTAATGTTAAGTTCCAGGACTTTGTATGAGCCACTAATAGTAATTGGTTTAACGTTAGCATAGTCGTGATATTCATATTGTCAGTTCAATGTTATGATTACTAAACAGTTCCCGGTAGGACTCTAATTTATGGACGAGCCAATCAGAAGCGTGTAAGGAATTTCAAGGTCATGGCGCTAAGTTCAGTGCGAGATGCTCACATTCGATCGTTTTACAGCAGATTTTAGAGAATAGGTGATCGTTGAGAGACTACAGCAGATGGGACTATTAGGAAGTTCCTGTGTCTGTGACTGCGGCAGTTAAATGACCGCAGCACGATGTGCAGACTGCCGCGATGACATTGTATTTCGTTGTACTATATGTTGTAGAAAAAAATCTGCTTGAACTGGCACTTTTTTTACCCGGTCACGGCTAAGGCTAAGACAAACCATGATAATCGTTGCAAATTGGATCATAAAGTCTCCAGTAACATTAGCTGGGGCTATACCGATGTTTGGAAAGCGTATAGATGCCTCTCCAGACTTGGTTTTGTGCATCATGTTGTGGTGTACAAACGTCATTTCTTTGGTCCAACGACGGGGGGTCCATACAAACAACATTGAGGGCATGTGGTCTAGGCTGAAGTATTCTTTAAAACCCTACCACGGCTCCAGAGGACGATTATCATAGAGTCATATGGACGAGTTCTTATACCGCATGCACTATGATTTCAAAACTTCTGAACCTATATCAAACCTCAACAAGTTCTCAAGTAATGTAAAAGAAGAATATCCATTGTAATTCATCACTCTTTTATAATATATTTTTACTTTATACTAGCTCTCTTCTGATTGGCTAATGTCCTCAAGGTCACTTAAAAATTCGTTCAAAGGTCGTCCATAAATTAGAGTTTCACCCAGTTCCCTTATAAGTTGTTTAAATTTAGGTATGTGGAATCAATGCGGCTGACATAGTAACCTTACAGTAACGCACTGTACTATATCCTCACGGTTATTGATTCTTAAATGTCAGAAATTAAAAAGAAAATCTGAATATTGCCAATAAAGATGGGTTATATGATCACACTAAAAAGCATGCTGCAGGGAAACTGGTTAAGTCATTACGTAAGTTTCCTAAACATGAAAAAAATGATGAGAACTTTAATAAGTACTTGACCATGGTTTAATCCAAAATGTTTTGTCTAGAAAATTACTTATTAATAGTAGTATTAATCGTATCAAGCTACTAAACATATCCTCAACCGAAAACTTTTAGAAGTAGTTCATATGGTATATATGTATAGCCAGTCTACGTGAAAAATGTATATAAATATATAAGAAGTACAGCCAACATAGTTAATTAACCAGAAAAAGAAATTATAAAACTCGCCTGGGTTGCTTTTTGAATTCGTTGTATTTGCCAGTGTTAGTTGTATGAGTTTGATTAAAATCCTCAGCCACCGTTTCGGAATACCTAGCTTATGTGTTCAGTATTTTTAAAAAAAATATTTAACATAACACGTATATATCAAAGGTAAAAGGTCTGGGGAGTTGTCGGTGAGGCGGAATGAGGAAAAAAAATATTTTTAAGTAGATGCAGGGTGTGATTAGCTGCGTGGTTAGATTTTATCCTGCAACCGAAACTGTCAACATCCTTGACTGACTAATTGGATGTGCCCAGCGAACCGTTTTAGTCATTTGTAAAGGTTTATTATCTTTACATTTCGATTCCGTAATGGATTTGTTAGTTAAACGATCTAACAACACGTATGGTGGTTCATGATCTAGATAAGCCGGCTTTAGCCTATCAATACTTACTGTGTCGATGTTTCCATGTTTTTCTATCACGAAATATTTAGATTTTCTTGAGACGACTTTGAAAGGACCTTCAAATAAAGGACTGAGTGGTGCTTTTATTTTGTCACATCTTATCCAGACGTGCGTGCAATTGCTTAGGTTTTTAGGTATATATACGGCGCGCGATTGTTCACGAGTATTAATCGGCTTAAGTTTATTATTATTATTATTATTCACAAACATCTTATGGGTACATAAGTGTTGTGAAGAAACCATTTCGGGTTTCTTCAAAAAATGCAATAATACACAATTTTTAATAATGTCAGCATTATACTTGCCATATTTAAAGAAAATAAATTTAGAGCAATAATAGTAGAATATTAATAATAATAAATCGGGTCTGTGCAATTGAGAATATTGAATTGAGTTTAAAGAAGGAAATGGAGAAAATAAGGAGACGTGAAATACGCAAACAGTCTAATAGGCGTGTTTATGAACACAGAGCAAGAATAAACGACTATGTGTGTATCGTTAAATTAGTAACAAAAGTAATTAAGAAAAAATAACTTATAATTGCAGTAAGATAAGACGCTAGAATAGATGTTTGTGCAGTTATAGTTTGAAGTGATGCGATGAAAGTCTCAACTGAGTGAAAAGGATAATAAAATATCAATATGTATGAGACATATATGCATAGTGAATATAAAACAGGTCTGAGAAGTTAATGTAAATATAACACAAGTTATTGTCTTAATTACAAACTTCGTAATCTTAAGAATAATATTTATTTAGAGGGAAAGAAGAGAGAAAAGAAGTGAACACTTAGTGAAAAGTTTTGATCCATGATAAGAATAATAATTGTGTAATGAATATCAACCTCAGAAGGAAACCAGCAATTGAAAAAATAAAATAAAAATCCGTTAAAGCACTCGGATGAATACATTTAGATTTATGTGATAGTATACAGAGTGAAACCGGATATTAGTATAAATATTTGTGCAATAATAATTAAGATTGATGCTATGAAAGTCAAAATTGATTTTAAAGGACAATCTGGAGTTAAATATGTTTAGAAGGATAAGAAGATACAAAAAGAATATCTAATGTATCGGGGAACTAATAATGATATTAATAACGGTAATAATGATAAACACGAACATAAGCAGATTTCATATATTAAGATAAATAGAAATAAAATAAAATAGACGTGGAAAGATTTAAAGGTTTTATTTTGCTTTTAAATCAAATGGATGACGGACCTTGTTTGTATAAATCATTATTGAATACATTGATATTCAATAGGTGACATAATCCACTTTCGGAAAGAAAATCGTCAAGGAGACTTTTGAACCGGGTTGTAGTTTCACTGCAACGGAGGTTCACTGGCAGTCTGTTCCACATGGTTGAGTAGCGAATAAGGAAAAAATTCTGACGTAAGTTTGTGTGGGTCCTTGGAATCGCTAGGATATTCTCCTTATTGCGTAGATTGTGGGGTGATATCATAAGGTATGAAGGGGTGGATACCGAGGAGTAGGAAATACCGTTAATAAGCCGGTAGATAAAGGCAAGATTTAATTTGATACGTCTGATCCAAAGAGGTTCTAAGTTGAGTAGTTGACATCTTTGGTAATAGTCTTTGTTATCGGAATACCCCAGAACAGCTTTGGTGAACTTTCTTTGAACACCTTCAATTCTAATCAGGTCATTATGTCTACAATTACTGTAAACTAAAATACCATATTCAAGAATGGGTAAGATACATTTTCTGTATAGTAACAATCTCGATTCAGTATTATTGAAGTTTATCATTATCAATCCGATGAGCTTTCTAGCTTTGGATACTTGATATATAATGTGTTCAGAAAAGTTCAGACTGTTACTATATCTTAAACCCAGGTCACGAACAGTGTTGAGAGGTTTGAGTGTATATGTGTGTACAGTCAGATTTAAGTTAAGACAGCGACCATTGTGAATAAATCCACTTTTGTTAACATTAAGTGGCATATTCCACGAAACAATCCATTCGTACAACTTGTTTATTTCCTCTTGGATTACCGCTGAAATAGAGCTTTCTTTCGTAGGAGAAGAGAATGAATATACTACTTTCAAGTCATCAGCAAAAAGGGAAGGCTTACCATACTGAAAGAGGGAACACACGTCATTGATAAAAAGGAGAAAGAGTAATGGACCAACCACACTTCCTTGTGTAACCCCACTGGTTACATTCACAGGTTTAGAGTAGCAAGATCCAAAGCGAACGATTTGACTACGTTCTTCTAAAAAAGATTTGAGCCAAGATAAACCTTTTTGTATAGCACTGAGTACACATCCAAAGTATAGATGAGTTTCTGCAATGAGATCTGAACTGTTCATGGTAGAGATTGCACTATTAAACAGTTCGTACAATAATGGGTTTATTCTGTAATGACTGTCATGATATTTAGTCAACATGTTGAATCTATTAGCTACCAAGTCGATATGCACATGGGGAAAACGTGCATCTGGTTGCGAGAAAACACCTATGGGTGAATTTGTGTGACGATTAATCTTTGATTGTTGACATGCTGAACACTCTCTAACCCATTTGTGTACATCCTTTTGTAAATTCGGCCATATATATCTGGCATTGATTAGTTTTGTTGAAGCTTTCGCGCCAGGATGAGACAAAGAATGAAAGTTATTATATATCAACTTTCGCATATTTTTGGGAAAGAAAGGTCGCGGCATTGCCTTGGTCGTGTCACAATAAATTAGAATACCATCGATAGGTGATGGGAATTGTTTTAAATTAAGACTTGAATTGTTTGTTTTAAGTAGGTTTTGTAATTCTAGGTCCTGCTCTTGTTCGTGTCTTAACGTCTCGAAGTTTACTGTAGACTGCTGTAGCACGTTCATTTCTAGTCTGGATAAAGCATCTGCCGCCTGATTGTCCTGACCTTCGACATGTCTGATATCGCTTGTGAACTGTGATATATAGTCAAGGTGTCGGACTTCTCGAGGTGAGTATTTATCGGCTCTCGCTTTTAATGCATTCGTCAGTGGTTTGTGATCCGTAAAGACTATAAATTCCCTACCTTCTAACATGTGTCGGAAGTGTTTAGTAGTCAGGTAGATTGCAAGAAGTTCTCGCCCGAAGGTAGAATACCTTGTTTCGGCTGGAGCGAGTCTTTTCGAGAAGAAAGCAATTGGTTTCCAGGCGTTTTTAACCAGTTGGTTAAGGGTACCGCCTACTGCTTTATCTGAAGCATCCACCATCAAAGCAAGTGGGGAAAGAGAATTCGGATATATCAACGTAGTTGCTTGAGCCAGTTTATCTTTAAGCTGTTTAATAGCTTCGACGGCGTCAGAAGACAGTTTGAATTCTTTTGGTTTTCCTTTGAGTGAATCTGTCAAAGGTTGCATTAATTGTGTACAACCTGGTATGAATCTGCGATAAAAGTTAATTAGGCCTAGAAAACTTCTCAGTTGTGTTAGAGAACTAGGTACGGGGTATTGTTTGATGGTGTCCACTTCTTTTTTGATCGGTTTAATCCCTTCTGGGCTTATTGTGTGACCGAGAAATTCTAAAGTTTGAACACCGAAAACACACTTACTTTAATGTATGTTTATTCCATGTTCATCCAGTCTTTTCAATACTGCTTGTACATGCTGTTCGTGTGATTGCAAATCGGGGCTGGCAATTAACAAGTCGTCTATATACCCCTGTGCAAATGGCATATCTCGAAGTAGGTTATCTATGAATCTTTGAAATGTCTGTGCCGCATTTCTCAGGCCGAATGGCATGCGTACAAACTCGAATAAGCCAAAGGGTGTAGTAATAGCTGTCTTGGGAATATCTTCATCAGCCACCGGGATATTGTGATATGCCCTGACTAAGTCAATTTTAGTGAATATGTTCATACCCTGTAAACCGTTGGTGAAATCTTGGATATGAGGTATTGGGTACCTATCTGGTACGGTTTGACGGTTTAGGGCTCTGTAATCCCCGCACGGTCGCCAGTCACCTTCATTCTTCTTTGGGACCATATGCAAAGGGGATGCCCATTGACTATCAGAGGGACGGATAATACCCAATCGTAGCATATAATCAAACTCGGCCCTAGCGATTTTGAGCTTATCTGGTGCTAGTCTCCTGGGTTTTACAAACACCGGTGCACCTTCGGTTTTGATAGTGTGACTCACTTTTAGTTTGTCCTTAGAAGGCTGTGGGTTTGGTTTAGTTAAGTTTGGAAATTCCGCGAGTATATCTTGGAATTTCGCTGTTGTTACTGGAGGAGTTTGAATCAAGTTAAGAGAGCTGATGTGACTTTCTTTGCCTTTTGTGTAATACGAAGTTTCTTTTAGTGTTAATCGCCGTTTCTTGGTGTCAACTAGAAATTCGTATCTCTCTAGAAAGTCCATCTCCAGTATTGGCAGATCTAAGTCGGCTACCGTGAAAACCCAAGGGAATTGCCTCCTGAACCCCAAATCTAGGGTTAAAGTTTTCTGCCCAAATGTCGCGATTTTAGTTTTATTTGCAGCTTGAAGTGTAATTGGGGACGTTTCTCGACTAATCTTAGTTTTATTTTGAGGGATGATGCTAAGAGCAGCGTTAGTATCCACCAAGAAATTCAATCCCGAGTTTCTGTCTCTAACATAAAACAAGCGACTGTTTAGGCGCCCCTCCTCAGTCGTCGCGACCTGGGGAGGGGTTACTCGCTTCCCGCTGTCTTAGAATTATGCTTAGGTCAGGCGCATGCACTTGGTTGAGTTGACACCAAACTTCCAGTGGTACCAACAAAACTGCCCAGATTGTCTGGACATTTGTGACCTGTTTTGTGACTTGGATCGTGGTCGTTGTGGTGACCTGCTCCTGTTCCTATGACCCATTTGCATTCTGGTGACAGCCTCAGTGAGACTCTTAACACTCGCAATGAGTCCTTCTATTACGCGGTCTTTTGCTGATTCTACTTTTTGTGTGTGATTTATTGTGCCTGATCCAGTTGGAGGACCTCTTTCCATTATTCTGTCGGCTATACGCGCTAAATGAGATAATGAGGTTTCAGGATCTTGTGCATCCAAACAGTGTTGGACGTAGCATGGGAGAGCTCGTATCCATTCTTGTTTTAGGACTGCTTCACCCACTGTGTTATCACCCACTAAGACTTGGAGGTGACGTAAAAACTGTGACGGCGACCGATCACCTAGTGTTTCACCTTGAAAAAGTCTTTGGATTCTTTGACTATCTGATAATGATAAACGGTTCATTATCTCTCGTCTTAAGATGGTGTATGGTTGTGGTGATGGTGGACTTAAAATCAAGTCACGGACTTCTTTGGCGACTGAAGGAGGAAGGATAGAACACAAGTCTCTATAGCGAATCCCTTCAGATTTGATATTGTGTCTCGTGAAATAATGCTCTAGTTGAGCAAGCCACAACTCAGGATCACTACGATCAAATTCTGGAAGTCGGGATTTCGTAGTCATAACAGTGTCTATCTCCACTGGTGACAAATCCTCCAGATTATGGGTTTCTATTAAGTCTGACATGAGGTATGTGACAAATATAGCAATAAAGTTAGCACAAAAAGTGGTTACTATAACACGAATAACTTAAGATAATACGGAATAAACTAGTTATATACTCAACTTAGTTTACGGATAATCAGGTCTACTTTTACGATTAAGTAAAAAAATGTTAATAACAGAAATGAGGTTAAATTTGTGTTCAAAAAGGGCTCACCAATTTCGTGCCTTAAAGTAACCCTCGTGCTATTGATAGAAGAAACCAGACAAGTAGTGAATAGGTCTTTATTTCGATCTTAGCGCGGTCACAGTGGAGCGTGGGATTATCTGTTCAGACAAACAAAGGCCCTCAACATTCAATATAAGATATTAGGGAATATAACTCTTATACGAAACAAGGAAGTGAATGGATACTTGAACAATACTGTTTTGGCATATGCTTGGTTGTTTGGGGTCAACTCTTAACCAACCAACCTAAGCTGTTACAAATTGACTGCACCTGCTGACCGGACTCTGGAGATCACTAGAATCCCCCTAACGATGAGGTCTATTCCATCAAAGAAAAGCCTCAAACAGCTAGAAACAACGTCACATACTACTGACACAGTCTAACTTGATTCCTCGATATTCATAATAATTTTAGACTATCCGAACTTTTCGGAAAAGCTCGTAACCAAAAAGATCTGTCTGTAGAACATGAAAAATGGATAAACCCTACTGGTGCCGGTACCGAGCTTTTCGTGGCACTGGGCTCCAACAGCACAACCTTTGAAGCCGATCATGCAATTAGTGAAAAGACCCATATTCAACAATTGACACGAAAAGAAGAATAATTATGTAGGACGCGGAAACATTAATTCAATCCATCGGATGGCATCGCTCAGCCTTGCAGGCGTGCTCATTCTTGGGTCAATTATGTCTTTCCTTCTTATCAAATATAGTGTTTTATCTCCCGTCTAAATGTGTTCTGCATCATATAATGGACGAGTCGTTGTAGATATTGATGTGATTTCCACGTAACATCTTGTAGACTACGTAGTCATATGATGGTTAAACTACAATTTTAGGATTAGGTCTATTATTATAGCAGTACTAATAATAAAGTGGACCATAACTCCACAAGCTTTAGGCAGTCCGGAAAGAAAAACTTTTCGGTGAACTTCACAGCCAGCATGTGTTAACTGCAACCGCAACTGGCGAACAAAGCCGTTTCTTACACATCACAAACGTGACTACGAAAGTTCGATAACTCATCGGCACTAGGGCAGAAGTAAGCATATTTCCAGCAAATTTAACTACCGACTGCGCGAACCTGTTTACCGCTCACATTCGTCAAATAATAAACTGATTATAACATACGGCGAGCGATATGTTCACATTAATGTGGGTTTACGCGACCTCATCCACTAGATTCCTGTTGTTGCAGGTTTTTCTATGCTAGCCAAAGGTACAGACCTGATAAAACATATTCTACATACCTACACGCACAAATGGGAGTTAATGGACAGAAATGCTGATGTATCTATCAGTTTAACCTCTTTTTCTGGCTGTAGGTTATCTTCAGTAACTGTTAGGCACATAATCGATCCATACTACCAACGGATACTCGATAATTACGGTAAAATGTACCAAACGCAATCAAAATTACCGTATGTAGCACGTCATTTCGCACACTGCATCACGATTACAGGACCACCTGTATTCTCAAAAGCGTGACAACTACCT